GAGGGTTTTCAAAAGAGAGGGCAGGGATAAGTACCTTATTTTAAAAAAACTTATTTTAATATTAATAATTAAGTTTAATTTATAAATTGACTTCATATAGATAATTAATACAAATAAATTGATGTGAAAGTCTGAAAAAAGTTTCTTCATATATCATGATACAAAATGTTATATGTACTCACATACGTCACACATTTGAAACTTATTTTAACACAGGATTACTTTTTATTTATATTTTAATCTTAAAAAATGTTAGGGGAAATTTTTTTATTTGCATAGAAAGCTAATCAATGGCCATACAGTCAAATCTAGCCAGCAAGGTGACTCTCCAGTCTCCAACACAATTAGTTTCTTCACTGTTGGTTAATTTTTTTTAGGCTAGATTACATATATATTTCAATAGAATAGCTCTTTAATATAACAGGGGATGAAAAAAGAAATCAATCTTAGAAAAACTCACTTTAGGGTGGGTTTTTCAGACTGGGTTATACCCAGTAAAACCCTGGCGGGTTTTATTGGGCAGGTGGGTTTTTTGCAACCCTGCGTTAAGCGTACATTTACTAAAGAATCTGTTAAAAATGATTGTGTCAAAAATGCAATAAAAAATTGCCGTTTTTTAAATTTTTTTTATTGTGTTTAGAAGCTCTCGCAGGCCGCACTTCAGTAGTCGAAGGGCCACAGGTTCAAATTTGCAAGTTTAAAATCTATTCGGCACCTTGGCGATTGTAGTTGGCGCGACAGATCATGATGCGGAAATATCCCCGTCTTGCCATGCAGCAGAATTTTTTCGAGCTATCAGTGACAAAACTCTAGCACTAATATCTTTCTGCAAAATTATTGTAACAGTAACAATCATATATTTTACAAATTTAAAATAATAAAAACACTGTATTTACGAAAAGAAAAAAGTTTTTTTCTTTAAATTTAACTTGTAATAATTTTTTAATTAAATATTTTGGGTGGTATTCTTGCATTTCGCTAGGAGGGGAACATAAAAATTATTTCCTTCGCATTTTGTAAATAATCATCACAATATAAATAACATAATTTAAAATCATGAAATATGTAGTAGGGTGACCTGGGGTGATTTCTGATCAAAAAATGCAAACATCTATTTTGTGAAAAAATTCATTTCAATTCACAGGCTACACCTTGATGCCAACTATTAATTGAAAACACTACTTAACATGTGAAGAAGAAAAAATTTAAAATGCTTTTCAAACTACAGTACACTTTTGATATCTCAAAAACCTTGTTATGTCAAAAAAAAAAAAAAAACTTTTTTTCTCTTGGCATTATGCACCTAATGTTAATTTGAATACCTATGTCAAAGGTCTTATAAAATTTTGTTATGTTGAATATTTTTCGAAATAGGAAATGAATTTAATGTAAACCATTTATTTTCTATGTAGGGTGACCTGGGGTAATTCCTGATCAAAAAATGCAAACATCTATTTTGTGAAAAAACTATTCAAGCTAAAATTTTAATATTTACTGGAAGTTTGAGGCTATATGAGGCGAGTCCTATGCTACCTTCTTTTGTTTGAAAATCTAATTAGAATTTAAAAGATTTTAAATTTTTAGTGATCAGGAATTACCTCTTCTCTCGATCATTTCTGGGGTAATTACTGATCCCGAGTTTTTATAGTATAGGGGCTGTTTAAAAATATTGAACAGTGGTAATTAACAAACAGGACATCAAGATCAAACAAATAAACCAAAGAGATATGTTTAAGCAGTTAATAAAGCAAGAATAAAGATTAAGACTTTAAATTTTCAATAAATCTTTGCGTAGTGCCATACATTTTAGGCAAGCAGCCAACTCATTCTCATGTTCTGCTGGAATGTAAGAAAGAGTTCCCGCATAGATTACTTTTGCTGGATTTTTTAACTTCATTAAGTGAGAGTGTAAAGTTAAGTAAGGTATGTCAACAGCTCTGACAGCAGCTTTCACACTGAAATTTTCATTTTCAATCATTGAAGGAATTGACTAATTTTGCTTTCTAGAAGCTTAGTATCCTTTTTTGGCTTATAATTTCTCACACTATTTATATTAGGCTAATTTATACACTCAAAAATTATTCTAACAATGTCCACACATAAAATTAAGATAGAAGAGGTAAGACAAACCATCAATGGTGAAAATAGAACACTTTTGCCGTGTATACAGTTAAAAACAAATTTTCTAATTACAGTTAAAATATACACAGTTAGCTATTTTTTATATATTACAGTTAGCTATTTTTTTATACTATTTATGAGAAAAAATGACTGATCAGGAATTACCCCAGTGATCAATAATTACCCCATGTGTAGGAAGCAGCATTTGATATATTTTCTAATAATTAATTATAATGTAGATATGAAGCAATTAAGCAAAAGCTTACACTATTTTTATATCAAAGAAAAAGAAAGTAACTCAAAATATTTATTATTAAGAGAAGGAAGGAGATAATCTTTGCAGAAATGTGCATATTTTAAAACCCATCTTTGAAATGGAAAATACAGAAAGCAGTTTAAAAAATACTTATTTTGTTAGATTAAACAGAAAACTATTATTAAGTAAATGTAGTTTTACTTTAGTAAAATGTACAAGCATTCTTGTCCATGTCTCAAATTTAAAAAAAAAAAAATAATTTTTTAAAAATAAAACTTAGGTGATCATTATTTACCTCAGAAACAGAGTGATCGTGAATTACCCCGGGTCACCCTACCAATTGCCGAAAAAAAGATCGATGACAAAATCACTCGAATCGGACTCTTCAAGTACATGTTTCGGCTGAAATTAGGTTGTTGTAGTAAATAATCTCGTATAAAATGTGTCAGATTTAAAAACTATGGAGAATTCAATATCTATGAGTGCAAAAAATTCAGTAGAATTATTGATTCGTACTCAAATGCAGGATTCGAATTTCCGATATTGTTTGAAATACCTCTGGATATTCAAAAACCAGGTGAAAATAAATATCAATAACTGCCTAAAATACAATCAAAAATTTACATCGATTTATGATACTATCGGCGTAAATTGAGCGCATAAAAAAGTTATTATCTAAATGCTTGATAAAAGTATTGTGTTCATTTTACATTGATGATTATCTAATTTTTATTATGCTGTAAATTTCTGTATTTTTCAAGGGAAAAATCTTTCTACTTGAACTCTGTAACATTCTGCTACAATGTCACTGCGATTCTGTGATTTTATTAGAATTTATAATAGTGAAAATCAGTAAAATTTGTTATTTTGAACTTGGGAGCTGTTCACTAATTACAAATATCTACTTGCTTCAGGCCAGGCATATATACCCTTATTTGCAGAATACCTTTTTCGGAGTTAATTCAGCATATGAAAACAAAACACTGGTAACAAATTCATAGTATCAAGTTTTCAAGTGATTAATTCAGGGGTCCTACACTTATTATTTTTAGCAAATGCAGTAACAAATATTATAAAGTGAAGTTTTTTATTTTCCCAATTATTTCTTTTCATCTGAATTTAAATATAATCGTTTGTAATGAATAATGCAGTAATGATATCACAAATATTTTGAATAGTTGATTGGGGCATCATTTGCTAAATTACTTTTGTACAAAGAAATTGAGATTTTCACTGTTTTCATTTCAATATTATTGAAACTTTAATTTAAAATTATTTGATAAAAGGCGTTTTTAACTCAATTACAAATTTTAATTCCATATCTATGAAGGAATAATAACTAATTCTTAGTTAATGTTTCTATGCATTGATTTGAAATTATTACGAGTTATTCAGTATTGATAAGATTATGTTAGAACTGTTTAAACTTTCTGTTCTAAATAAAGTAATTCTGAATTATGAAATAGTAATTTTATTATTTTTTGTTGATAAATGAGCTTGTATTACACTTAAATAGTATTATAAATTATAATAATAGCATTAAATAGTAGCTTGTATTACACTTTACCCCACTAAGAAGCCTGTTAATGAATTTTATTGTTAACAAATTGATTCTAAATATGTAACTTATAATAAAATTAAAAAATACAAATTCCAATTATTTATATTTCCATTACTTTTATATGCTGTGCTAAAACTTTTTTTAATGAACATGAAATTAAAAATTGCGAATAGAAATAATGTACTAAGGTGTTCTCAAATTTTTTTGAGATGTTAATTCACAATACTGTTGAAACTGTTATTATAACAAGATGCAATATATATTTATTTAGAATCACAATTAAATAAATTTGGAAAAATTATGTATAAAATATATTATAAATAGTTCTATATTTGTATACTGTGAGTAGTTTTAAATAATATTTTTAAAATATGGCTAAATTAACACAATACTATTTCAATCCGAAACAAGACATATTCAATCAATTATGCATTAATTTATTCATTGTAATTTGTGCTATAACGTAAACATTTAAACAAGCATAATTTATTAACAATTTAAATTAATTTAGAACACGGTAGTGAGCTAATTATTTAACTTAAGAAAATTTAACTTATTAGAATTCTCTTATTGGAAAAATTAACTTATTGGAATTTAGTTTCCATAGGTAAATTCATCAAATAATTGAAAGGTTTGAATTTTTCTTTGAAAAGATATTTTAGACAAGAATATGGGGATATTCTTAACTAATACAAAATAAAATAAGTTTCAAATGGTTATTATAATTATTGACTAAATAGTAGGCNTTTTTTTGATTTTTTTTTTTTTTTTTTTTTTCAAAATTAATGGTCTGCACAACTAAAAAGGCTTGAAACTGCTTTTTATTATTTTTGTTTTGGCTTTTAGAGACATCAAAGCCGATTACAATTCTGTGCTGACTAATTTGATGGTGTGGCTCAAGAATTATTTTGAAGCTTCTAACAAAATTCTTGAGGGTGTTCCTACTATTTGTCCTACTGTTTTATCTTCAAAAGGTAAATTTTTAGTATACGCTTATCTTCTTCTGATTAATTTTATCCATTTTTTGGGTTCCTGTCTCTTATCTGCCAACTCTTTGGCATTTATACCTCATCTTCTTGCTGAGACTTATATTTTCTTTATTATTAAAATATTTAAGATTTTAGTACCTTTTTAAAACTACCTCTGAATATACACTAATAGGTCGGTAAAGAGTAAGACTAGGAAATTTAACTAGGGACCACTTTTTGCATTAATAGAAGTATATTTGAAAAATAAAGTTAATGTAAGGAATATGTTAGTACTAATAGATTTTCATGTACCAATGCTAAAATATTAGTAAATAGATTCAACAAGGCGATAAAGATGCTGAGATTAAATAAATAGAAAACAGAGAAGCTAAGAACTAATAAAATATATTACAAATTGTGAAATTTTAAGTAAATTGTTAAGGAGCAAAAAAATTTTTAATTGTTGAGCAGTTATACTGCCAGTAAATAAATTACTGGCAGTGCAATACTACTTATAAATTTGCAAGATGTAAACATTTAAATTTAAAAAAAAAAATTTTTTTTTGTACCATGTGTTCATTTATTCCATTTGAATACCATACATTTGAATGTCCGGATTAGAGCAATAGATAAGCACAACAAATTTTTTAGTCTATGGAACTTGATTAAAAAAAAAAACTGTTTCATTTTGATATAGATCAATTCTATAAAATGATTTTTATTTATTTTTTTGTAGTAGGTATTAAACTTTCTGCGTGTGCTTGTTTGAAATGTGTCATGCTAGTGTGTGTAATAGTATCTTGTTTCTTCGTAGGGAAATTTACTGAAAAAGTTTGGAAAACACTATTTACGTGTGTACCCTTTGGTACATCCATTTCTTATGGTGGCTTAGCTGAACTTAGTGGAAATTCATCTGCTTCTAGAGCTGTGGGTACTGCGATGAAAAATAATCCAGTTCCAATACTCATTCCATGTCATAGGGTTATTAAGAGTGATGGCAGCATAGGACATTATTCTGGCGGAAATGGTGTAAAGGAATGGTTACTTAAACATGAAAAAAATGGTATACTGTGAGCAAGGTTTGAACAATGTGTGTGAATAATAATTTCTTTAACCATGTAACTGGCATGATTCCTGATTTAGTAACCATGCCGAAAATCTGTTTGATATGTAATGTGATATCTTTTTCCTGTAAAAACTAAAGCCAAAGTTAAATTAATGGATCAAATTTTACTTTAACCCTTTCATTACCTGTCCTCTGAAATGATGCCGGTGAAGCAATAAACCAGAACTCTCTTGTGGCTTTGGTTAAAAAAGTGAATTATTAAATTATGTTTTAAGTTGCTTTGAAAATTAGAATTATTATTATTTTATTTTTTTTCCCTTTTGACAGTGTTCCTTTTTTGTCCCTCTTTTAATTTAAATATAAAAAGTTTAGAATGCGAATTGTGAAAAAAAGTATTAAAAGTAAGTTTATTTAAAGTTTATTATATGATGTCAAATTATAAATTATTTTAGTTTAAATTTAAAAATTATAAAGCTGCTTCTTGTTCATTAAACATATAATATTGTTTGCTTAAATTTCATGACTGTGATTATTATTGAAGATTTTCATCCTTAGTAAAGTATCTGAATGTGGTTGATCCAGTTACTGAGAGAGTATTTTAGATATTCTTCCAAAACAATTTGTATTTTTATGTTATAAGATGTTGGTAATGCTACTATTTTATAACTATTGTGATATAATGTTAAAACTTTTTAACTAGCTCTCTTTGTAGAAATTTACACTTGTTGATATTAATAAAGTTTAAAATTTGTTAATTGTGATTTTTATTAATTTTTTTATGTGTAATTAGAGACAGAAATAAATGGGTATAATTGAAATTTTTCGCTTGCTCATTACTTCTCACAGTAAAATCCTCAATATTTATAAAATCAGACGTAGCTAACTTATTCATTGTTTCACCAACTGTGTCCTCAGGGGATTTATCTTCTTCAGATAAATACGGGATTCACGACCCCGAGGTGCCCCAGTGATTTTTATCTTTTTTTTTCTCAGATATGCAGTTTTTTAATCGTGCTTCGAAATACTGATCGACTTAAAGCAAAATTGACATTTTTGTCAAATACATTCTACCTTTTCTTCGGGAATTTTATAATTCCTTGATGTGGCCGTTTCAGCCCCTCTCCTTTCTTATGGTTCGCCATCTTGTGATTTTTCCTCTTTTATTAGGACTATAGCTGTCTTCGTCATACCTTTCGGTCTTCCTTTCACAAACATTTTTTTTTTTTTGGCAGTCTGGTCTTTAAAGGGAAGACTAGAGTATCAAAACTACCTATTAACAGACACTAGTTTTAACTAATCAGTCTAATTTCAAATGCATACGCAAGAATTATGAGTGAGAAGGGGGGGGGTATAATTGTTTACACTAAATCCTGACTGAAAAATTGCATTCACGTTTGCATTCACTGACAGTTTGGAATAGTTTCTGATGCATTATCACGACGTCTGAGTGGATAACTTTGTTTTGCTATTTCAAATATTCTTAAATTGTCAGAAAATAAAAATATCTGCTACTTTTTCACTGATATTCTATTTCTAAATTTCCGTTGGAGTAAGTTTGTGTACGCGTTTCCACTCGTAGAGTAAGACCGGGTGGTTTACCTTTTTCTAGAGTATTGCATTCATCGAGTTGCAACTTGGGCACTGTATTCATTACATTTTTATTTTAGTTGCATACTAAACTGACATTTTCAGTTTGAGATTGCACTTTATATTAAATGTAACAAAGTATAAGTGAAAGATATTAATTACTTGCTACTGGTGATTTTTGGAGGATTAACTGCTCCAGGTGAAGTAATGGCCTCGGAACTTAACAGTACTTTCAGCATGGCTGTCGCCTATAAGAGTGTATGTAGCTTAAAATATTTCGTAAATTAGAAACAAAAAAATTATCTTCAGATAGTAATTCTGTTGGCACTGACAGTATTTGTAACGTAACCTGTTTAAAATTATATCTATTAATACTAAGTGTATAATTTTTGTCGCAACGTGTTCTCGTTAACCCTACCGAAGAAAAGTCGTAGTGTGTATATGTTTCCATCAAATAGACGCTTATCTTTGTCATTCACCACTTCAATTTTAATACAGCACAATGCATTCACTTTGTGTGCAAATATGAATTTTTTATATTATGGTATGCATAACCATCTTGTTACGGCAATATAATTCTTTAAATGATGGATTTATGCTACCACTTTTTCATTTCATAAAAAATGATTCATCCTTTTAAAAGAATGCTAGTCATAAGTGGACTTCAACTACTTCATTATTATCTTACCTGGGTCTTTTACAGGTGCCAAAACTAAGTCCTGTAGTTTTGGTAATTTTGATTCCTTGATAAACTTTCGCTGTTTCCTCAAGGTGTCATTTGTGCGTAGCAAGGTTACCACAAATGTTGATTGTGTGGTTTCTGGTCTACCTATTTCCAAGCAAAAACTGGGTATTTGATTGCACGTTTCTGTTCCAATGTCAAGATGTGTTTCATTTCTTAAAGTAATTACTTAAATACACATACGTAAATTGATAATTGTAATCCACAACAGCTATTAACACGTTACTATAAAAAGACTTGTAGTTGCTCGTAGCATGCATTTTCGGTGGCTGGATCTTAATGTGGGTTCCGCGAATAGCTCTCTGGCGTCTATCAATTCTTCTTCGGTTGATGGAAGATGAATTATATCACCACATTCCTCGCAAAAACTTTACAAAATTCCAGGGTAATTTTGCAAACAAGTTAGATACAGTTCTGTATTCTGCAGATGAACTTAAGGCAATGGCAATTCGCTTTTCTATACGAAAAGCCTTCCTGAATCTTGTATCCATTCTGTCTAGGACGAATAGTTTTTCGAACAAGAACTGATACGTTCTTTTGCTAATCCTGAAGTTTTCTCTCCGCTGGCTGTCAGTCATTGGAGGAACAAAATCTTGCCAAAAGTAACTGCTTCTTTCTGAAGTCCACACAGAATGCCTCCTTAAACAAATGGTTGCACTTAAGATCAAAAACAAGCATCCAGAATTAAAACATTTGAGATGAAGAAAGAGAGATAAGAAAAAAAAGTAGTGTTAAAATATGTTGTAAAGTAATTTAACAGTAATAGATGTGTCAAATGGTTATATGAAAAGTTAAATTCGAAGAGATAATGAATGATGGAGGGATAACTTATATAGCAATAGGCAAGTCAGGATATAATGGATGTCAAACGACGCTAAGTGGGGTTTCAGTTTCGAAGTCTTTTTTGCCACAGTTGTAACAAGCTATTAGATTACTTTGCTCAACATGACCACTACCCCTAGGCAATGCATAATATGAATTAACTAGAGAAAATCCCTGAAGGCCAAATGGTCACGATAGTGTTAAACCACAATTACCCGATTTACATTAAGATCCGTTAGTCATATATTCATTCCATTTTTTAGGAGATAATACATAGTATTGACAAGCAACGATTAAACACGTCTAGGGGCCGCGTACTGGGTCAATAAAATTGAAAACAACCTTAACAACAGAATATACAGTTATTGAGGCAGGTATAATATTTTTGAAGCGGTTCGGGGCATCACTGACAATCCCATACAAACTCGAATGAAAAAATCTTGCTTGTCCCAATTAATTCGAACACTATAGTATTGTAATTTTGTTTTGCCACTTTTCACATTTTGTTATTAAAATGATAGCATTGTTATGAAAATTATTTTAAAATAATATTTTGACAGTACGTACTTCTTTGCTTTCCATGTTTTTTCTCTGGGTTGTTTCGATTGTTTATTAACAACTATTGGGGTAGATGGACCACTCGAATGTGGACAGTGTTCATCTGTACTTCCTTCATCGTCATCTTCATTTGGAACAGGCCATTGAACTTGATCTTGCATGTGTATGTCATTGCGCTTTTTTCCCATGAATCATTATCCTCTTTTTCCATAATTCGGTTAATAATAAATTTATAATTAAATTAATATTCATTGTTAATAAAAATCAATTATATCTTAACTGTAAAGATGAAATTTCCCTTCATCTAATTTGAGAGGCTGACACTTGATCGCACCTCTTTTTAATACGACATTTGAACAACTAATGCTTGGATTTTCTTTCTTTCTTTTTTTTTTTTGGCCCTAAAAAGGACTTTTTTTTTTTTTGCTCATCGATCTATTTACCTCCAGAAAGAGTCACTGAAATCCGCCAGATCAGGATAATCAGGCACAAAGTCCCCGGCATCCTGATACGGTACCGGAATATTGTGATTCTGTTCTGCAAGCTCCACCACTTGTGGTGGTGAATAGTCAATCTCTCTTCCATTGACTGAAAAAGGTTTGATCGGAGCAACTGGTATCGATTTCTTTTTTGAGCTGGGAACTTCGAAAGAGCATGTGCATTTTCGCTTAGTCGCCATTGCGTCAAAAAAAAGTGACAATAAAATTGAGTTTAGAGCCTCATTATGCGAGACAACCACCTCGTGAAGCCAATTCTTTTAATGGTTTTACCCTTTTCCTTTGTAAAAAGGTTTTGGTCATTGACTAAATTGTTAATTCTTGATGAACTTTGTAGCGTTTGTAAGTACTTGTTAAAATGTCATCAACCTTTAGGAATCGTCTTTGCCCTGTTACAGTTGGGTACAAAAAAAGAATGAAAAGTTGCTAACAAGCAAGTGATGACAATTTTAAAAAGAAAAATAAAAGTTAATGGCCGGGTGAAACGATATAGTGGTACATTTTTAGAGTCGTGTTGCAATTTTACAACCCAGAAGGAATATTAATTTTTAAAGTCCCAGAAAAACAAATATATTCTACAAAAAAAAGACATACCTCCTCTCCATAGAAGTTATCCGTACCTATGAAGAAGACAACAAAAAAACCAGTCAAAATGAAGTAGTCCAGTTCTTTTTACTAAATCTTTGTTGTTTATTGGAGATTACTAGGCAAACATCTTAAAATTATCACAGTGAGGCACAACATCTTAAAAATATCATCAATGGCACAACATCTTAAAAAAATATCATCAATGGCACAACATCTTAAAAAATACCATCAATGGCACAACATCTTAAAAGATATGGGTACTATTGGGTAGCTGGAGCAGGAGACCGAACTATCACAAGCTAGTGCATCATAAAGAAGAGTATTCAATCAAAAAGGATTGAAGCATAACATTTTTCAAAAGGAACAGCTGCCGATATTTTCGGGATTTTCTTTGAAAAATTAAAACAGCATTACAATAAAGCTAGAAATGGCTGTGAAGGAGTCCATCAATGGCGGTGTATAGGCAGCGGATCATATTAAAAGCAGGAGATTCACCATCAGGAAATTACTTAGTAGACATTAATCAGAGAAAAAGAAAAGNTTGAAGCGCTTTTTGCTGTTCCGTGCAAGTTGTTTTTTCTTTTTTTTTTTTTCGTGTGTCGCGCGTTTTTAAAGTCAATAAACATCCAACACATAAATCCTCCCGACTTCCCCGATTGGCTACTTTAAGCCTCGCATTAGCAACTTCTTCACAAAATATAATTTAAAATAGAAAATAACACATTTTTCACTTAAAAAAAATTACAAAAAAAAAGTAAAACATTATTGAAAAATTTAAATAGTTTCTTCCCGCTTTAAAAAATAATCAAAGAAGAATAAATAAATGAAATAAAATTAAAAAAAAAGCGTAATACAACCAGCCCATAAGTCCCCCCCCCTTACCCTTCTCCTTACGTCAATGATCTAATCTGAATTATTACAGATAAAAGAATATTCATTGAAACAATGGGCAGCATGCTAT